TTTGTAAGGTCTGCTTCATTCATTAGTTCAATTAAATCTGTAAAGACCTACTTAAAAGTTGGTCTTCAGAAGCAAAATCATGAGAAAAAGTGGGTGGTGAGAAAAGGTTAAAGAACTTTACAACAGGCATTCATAACCAGGAAGAATTTGTGAAGTTGACTGTCTCACCTTGATACATTGCCTGTGCTGCCGTCCAGGCGAAAAGACTTGCAATACCATTTGATCGATAAACAACTTCAATCTGATCCTCAAGACGTGCTTTTATGAGCCTCTCCCTCTTTAGTCTATCAGGAATAAGATGAAACTGGGTATGTCCATAACAGCACGGATCTGCCACCTTTGATCCTGTGTTCCCCAAAATGAAAAAATTAGTAAGAGAGAGAATATTTTTATTATGCACACAAATACATCTTCAGTATCAGACTCTAAACGTAACGTTTGAACCTCTACTGTAGATCTGTGTAAATGTTGAGATTCTGGGTGAGACTGGAGGAGCTGCCCAATTCCAAAAGGTAAGAGTTCACATACTAAAATGTCTCTGAAGAGATGTATCAAAATTCAAAGATAGTTTTGTGTTAATTTTCTATTCAACTCAATTCTTTCAAGAAAATCTGGACACACAATACCATGAGCAGGAGGATGCTACTCCCCACTGCCTAACTGACATGAAATCTCAACAGAGATTTATATACTGCATATATTTATAAAGTATAAGCTACATATAAAAATGCACAGCTTTTTTCAGTTGATGGGAGAAGAAGAATTTAGGTGGGTTTTGTTTGGGTATTGGTTTTTGTTGTTGGATTTCTTTTACAAAAAAAAAAAAAGTTAACATTTCATGATTAGAAGCTCTTACCTATATATACCTTATTTTCATACTGCTTTTTGAACAGCGGCAGTTTGGATGGTTTGTGATTAATAACGGGAACATCTCCCAGATTTGAATCCAGGGGTACAACCTTGAAGGAAGCAGAAGAAAGAAAAACCATGATGTAAGTCACGTTTCTGACATCAGGCTTTACATATTACAGCACTTTCTGGTTAGACAATAGAAAGTGCAAATCTTGCCCACATACACCATATATAGATAACCTCAACCGAAATTAATTTTTTTGCAACAGAACCTTTTGCCTTGTGATGGGTGCTAGCACAGTCATCTTACATTGAAGTCTCATTTTTCTGCAACATAAAAAATCAATGCGTGAAATGACGCTACCAAAGTTGCCAGTTGGTACTATCTTCAAAACCAGAATCTGCTTCTGTAGAAAAACAGCTAAAATATTTCTAGCAGTAGCCAATAAACTAACTTGAACTGGCAGAGTGAGTTCACAGAATCGGTGTTCTGCACTGCACAACATTTTTAATTTCCTAGACAGTTCTTTTAAAATGCCAAGTTTTGTAGCATTTGACAGTACTAACTTAAGCAAATTGTACAACTAAGTTATTAATAAAGGTTCTGCGTTTACAGAAAGCACAGTAGTTTTCTGTTTGTGGTGTAAACAGGACAACCAGACCCACATTGCCTACACAATTATCATTGTATGAACCTGCAAGAAAAACACTAGTATATTGAAACAAAATATACTTCCAGGAAACTGAGTATTCAAGAAAATAACTATTAATCAGTACCAAAAGGCAACAGAGCTCACATTCAGATTATAAGTGCTCTCTCTTACTCCATTCTGTTCTTCACCACTCCTAACGCACTATTCTTCTCCACTGAAGAGAGAACATTTCACAACACATTCCTTATTTTTGCCTCCACTTCCAAGCATAAAATGTTAAAAACTGAATTTAATTAAAATGTAAAGAGGACCAACTCAGAGTTCAGGAGACTGTCTCAATCTACAAAGCAATCACCACAGGGTAGTAAGGGAGCTAAGACTTGAAAAAGACACTAATGTGCCACATGTCTGAAAACCAGTTATTCCACACAGTACCTGCTGCATGGTTTCAGCGGCTGTCTGAAACAAAAACGAAAATAAATATTATTAACTTGCTGTTGGAAACATGCCCACCTGGGGAAGCTGCTTTGGCACACGGATCTGGAGGTGTGGCTTATCGTCTATCTGGAATCGCACAGGATCAACTCTACCCTTCCGATGTCCATGAGCAACAACTTCCTCACCATGATGCCAGTAATAGTTAACTTCGGGCTTTAGATCTGAAACAGAAAAGAAGAATACAGAAAAAGAATGATTTACCCTGGGCATTTGAAACTTTCCCAATTCTTCTTTTGCTGCAGCCAAACACAACACTCCTAATTCAAACAGAACGATAGAGACAAATTACTAGTGATGGCCCGAACATCTGATCTGAACAGCTACACCAGCGACACTGCTGCCGGCTGGTGCTGACCCCACCGCCCTAAGGCTCCCACGCCCCCTTCTCTGTCAGCCCCACTCCGCACCGAGGGAGGAGGCCGCCAACAGCGGATTGCGGCCGGACAGGAACGCGGCGAGGGTGGAAACGAGCTGCGTGAGGAAGGGACCGGGCGTGTGCTCCTGGTCACGGTACAGGAACGGCCGCTTTTTGTTCTGATAGAAGCTCTCCTGCAGGAGAGCGTCGCAGGCCAGGGAGCGCAGCTCGCCCATATCCAGGGGTGGGAGCGCTCCAGCCGCGGGCTTCGGGCTTGTCGTAGTCCCCGAGGTTGCCGCAGCCCCCGGTGCTCCCGCTCCCGGGCCTCCGCCGGCCTTGGGCGCCGCTCCCGCCGCCACCGCTCCCGGGGGCACGCCCGGCACGAAAACGGTGTTTGTGAAGCTGCGGTACCAGCGGTCGGCGTTGAGAGCGAAGGTTTGCGGGTACACCATGTACTTGGGCCGCTGCAGCTTCCCGTACAGCCGCAGTTTCTCCTCCACCGTGGCCGCCGCGTGCACTCGCTGTTTGAAGCGCTCCAGGCGCTGCTGCTGGGCCGCCTTGCTCTTAGCCGTGATGGACGCCACCACGGGCGGGTAGAGCGGCCCGGAGGCTGGCGAGGGGCTAGTGGGCTCGGCCTGCGAGAACCAGCGGCGGCCGGGCCGGAGCAGCCGCCGCGCCCCCAGCGCCGCCATCTCCGGAGCTGCGGGACGGGGAGAGGCAGAGCTGCAAACCGCGACACCTGATTCGCCACTGGGAATCACGTGGCTGGACAGCCATCCAATGGGCAAGCGGCTCCTCCGCCGGCGGTGCCGCCGAGGCAGGAAACGGCGGGGCCTTGGTAGTCACGTGACTTGATTGCGCCCATTCCCGCCGTGGTAGGGCACGCTACGGTTCATGCGCATGCGCAAAAGAGGAATCCGTGCCGTCACTGCACGGGAACTACAACTCCCAGGATGCACAGCCGGGACAGCCCAGAAGTGCCGGGCGGGGCCGTTGTGCCGCCCAGAGAGCCGCAGAGTTAATTCGGAGGTTGGAAAAGAGCTTTAGCATCGTCTAGTCCAACCTGTGACCGCACACGAGCTTGTCAAGGAGACCGTGGCACTCAGTGCCATATCCAGTCTTTTCTTATGCACTCCCAGGGGCAGTGTGACGCCACATCCTCTCTGGGCAGTCCATTTTAATGTCCAGTCACTCTTTCATTGAAGAAATTCTTCCTACTGTCCAACCTAAACCACCCCTGGCACAGCGTAGGGCTATGTCCTATTGCTCTGTTACTCACTGTGAAGGCTCGAAGGAGCCTTTACCTGCTTCCACTCGAGACAAAACTTTGGACCCAGTTTTCCGAAGGTCTGGATCTCGAGAAGCGCGTTCCAGCTGCAGGGAAGGGCCTTCTGTACAGGACAGTGAGTACCCACAGCACTGAGTGTAAACTGAAACGACCAATTGTCAGAACCTTCTGAGCCGACAGAGTCTGGCTTTAATAAAGGAATTCAACCCTGCTAAATATGATCTGTTAAAACCTTTGTTTGTGAAACGAAATAAACTAAAATTGGCACACTGATACTGCAAGAGTGCCACAGTAAATACATATTCATCTTCGAGACACTTCAACAGCTAAGTATTTCTCTTTGGTAGACAGATGAAGTTCACTAGTTATTCCTAAAACTTCCTTTTTTTTTTTTTTTTTTTGAACTTGATGATTTGCAGTATTCTTGGGAGATTGGTTAGTTTTTTTCCTGTATTTCCATGCAACATGACTAGGAATGGAACTGGAAGTTATGAGTGGAATTGGGACAGGAGTTACATTACATGCATCCCAGATAATCTGCCTTCTTTCCTTAACTTCATTTTAGCTTTCTGCTGAACTGCTGATCTCTTCTTCAGTGGTGGAATTTTTGGAATTTGGAGGAATTTTTGGAATACGTGACAAAGATGTAAACACAGAGTTTGGGCTGAGATTTTCAAAGAATATAGAATATAAAACCATCATATTCTTTAAGAGGAAGAAAAATAGACGTTAAAGTATTGTTGATGCATAGCTAAAGAAAAGCTGTCCTTTAGCTTAAGATTCACAAAGCACGTTATAAAAGACAGATTTAAATGTTAAATTGCAACTCAGTTAAGTATCAAGTATTTAAAATTTGGATGTTTTAATTTTGAAACTAGCCGCTCTTTACTATATGGGTAAAGGGACAAGGCCTTAGATCAGATGATTGACCGTTTAGGAAGCAACCACCCTCCTTTTCCGCATTCCACATACTGCAGTCTCCAAGTGCATATGCATATGCCTGTTTTTCTCTTGATTGATAAAGGACACTGACCAGATGTGGCAAAGGAAAAGATACTGAATCTCTTCCCTTGTGATCACGGCCAGCCATGTCAAACTTACACAAGCCGTTAAAGAAAATCACCATGTACTGTTCTTGGGCACTTTGCACCTCTTCTTTCAAAATTTGTCTCCTTTGCTAGTTACAAATATTCTTCTCATTTCATACTTAAGTGTATTCATGGTCAATTTATACCCACTTGTCATTGTGCCAATATTGTCCTTTAGTTTAATTAGCTTTTTGCTCTGTTTGATGTTGGCCTTTTAAAATATTGATGGAGACCAGTCATATCACCTCTCGGTCCTCATTGACAGAGGCTCTTCTCACACAGGTAGATCTCCATTTTCCTGATCATCTTAACAGCCCTTTCTTGCCTTCCCTCCAGTTTTGCATTTCTCTCAGGGATATGTGACCATACGGAACCCATTAATTGCTACAAGGGACTGTGTTACCTACGCCAGGATTACTAACATTTTGCTACTGTTAAAAACCTTTCTCATCATGTCGTCAAATCAGAATTGCCTGCCTTGCTGCCAAATGATACTGTGAGCAACTTTTGTATGGGATATTTTAAACCTTCAAGAAGTTCAATACAAAAACTGAATGTAACTGATGAAGTAAGTGAATGTTTAAAAGACCATTTTCATTTTATCTACTTTGTTTAAGGGCTGATACCAACTATAACATTAGTTAAGAGATGTCAGAAACCAGTGCTATGCTTTAACCTACGCTTAGAATCTCTGATCTACTGATGTTCTGGTCACAGTTTAATTTTATTTGCTTAGTGTACCTTGTAGTGTCATTCATCCTGAGGTAGGAGCTGCAAGGGCTTGGATAAAATGTCCCAATAGACAGTCTGAGTAAAGGTACTAGGGTGCTTTGCTGCCAGCTCTGTCATAAACTTTTGATTAAAGTATATTATGCAGCCATAGGTCACTTGGTTCAGAAAAGCGAACTGACAATTAAAAAAGGATCTATTGTCCTTCTCTACTGACTTAACGTGCAGTATCCAAATTATCCTAAACCTACAAAGCCAGAGCATCTTTGTGATGGTTAAATGAACGCTTAAAGAAAGCCTGGATTAGAAAGCTTGTCCTGCCTAAATTGTTCAGTACAAATGCTAAGGCAGATGTCATAGCCTTACATCTCTAAAATTGAAACTAGAAAAAAGCCCTGTATCTCAGTTCCAACGTGAAGCTCATCAGTTTGAAGACCATAAGTAGTTCAGAAACTAGTGCAGTTTGAATCTACTTGAATCTACTCTGTAGGAAGCGATTATATACATATTCTTTTTCTCAAACTTAGAAATGAGACAGAGTACACTCAATGTACTCATTTAGAGATGAGATTTCGTAGATGTTAATTACTGGGCAGGCTTGGTATCTCTGGTATGCAAGTGTAGAAGCTGCTTAAGTGCACATACTTCTTCAGTAATCTTCACCAGAAGTGCAGGTACAATCCAAATGGATCACAGGGATCGCATAATGGAGGTATATCTTATCCAAGACCTAGCAGGAGATGTATGGTCTGAGTCTGCTTTACCTGGCCATGGTGGGGTTGCTCTGTGTCCCATGGGAGTCATTGCCAGATCCGCAACCACTGAGAAAAGGTTCGGTTCTTCCATCTGCTAAGCCATTTGTTCCATATCTGTGCTATGGTGCTGGTACCATGCACCTTCTCATAGACCTACATCTTATTTTAGAAGGTAGGGAAAGGAGTTAACAGTGAGACTGAAGCTCTTCAAATTAGGAAGCCTCAGAAGGTAGCCACAGGCTAGACATGGATTTTGTTATAGACTGAGTAACAAAGATACTGTAGTTTGATTCTAAAGCAGTGATCCTAGAATCGTAGAATCAGCTGGGTTGGAAAGGACCTCTGAGATGGCAGACCCTCAGCACATCTGAGGACATGCTGAGGGTTGATGATGTCCTGCTCTAGTTCTCTTAGAAAGGTAAGCCAAAAAACATGTTAGAGGTCAGTTCGGGAAAGTTCATAGTCAAAAGAGTGTCTTGACTCTAACCTGTGATAAACAAGGTTACTAATAAGTACCAGGTGTTCTTCTTGTAATAGTATGTCAAGACCTTGGAGGAAGAGTGAACCTCCACTGTACTAAACATTGCATCCTACGCCTGTATAATAAAAAAGTGATTCTTCATCTGGTAATGTCAGTTAAGTTGTAGACAGGACTGGCGCTCTGCTCTTAGAAGTACTTGCTGTGTATCTTGTACTCTTAATGGTACCAGGCAGACACATATCTTTCTACTGAGTTTTATTTTAGAAGTTCTGCAGATTAGTTAGCCAGTATGTCTCTCAGTCTGGGTCCAGGTGTTGGACAAGGCATATCCTTACTTTTTGGTGCTCATCTTGGAGGATGAGAATCAGATGTCAAAAAAACAGGAATATCTCCAGGTTTAACCAGTTAAGGTTAAATTCTCTGCCTAGCCATTTGTTTTGTGTGACTCAGGGCTAGGTCCACAAAAGAACTTCTGTGGGGTCTCTGCTTCACCCTCTCAAGCCTAAAGATTTGACTAGTAGGGAACACGTCTTTTTGTTGCCAAAGTTAATGGACTGACCAAAAATGTACAGCATATTTCAAAACTGAAAAGAATAGGTGTCTCCAGGAGATCTTTTCACCAGCTTTCTTTAGAAGACATTTTAAAAGTTTAAAAGTTCATTATTTTTTCAGAGAAAATATGATGCTGGATATTCCAGCTTAGGTAACATCGGTGGGACTGCATTCTCCATGTAAAACTCCACATACTGCAACAGACACAATCTTAACAATCTGAGAAGATGTTCATTATTTTACGACTTATATCTTCAGCTTATTTTAAAATTTATTATATGCTACAACAACAGCTACCAGATGATAACATAATGCAACTCATAGCATAGACACATGCCATAGGGAAAAGCCATTATTGTCTTTACTAAGTGAAATCTGTGGGTAAAGACATCTTTCTTATACAATTTTCAAATATTTTATAGGAATATAAAATGCATTATTTGACAGACTGAAGTATGCCATTATGTATCCTTCAATATTAAAGTACTACTAAAGTACTACTGCATAGCACTCAAAACAGCATCAGTTAGAATTAAGTTTGCATTATGTTTCAACTGCTATTTTCATGTAGTTTCTCAAACAAATTCCTTTTGGGCTAAAATTTCCTATGTTCTTCTATAGATCAAAGATCTTACCACACACACTGCCACCCCCCATTTCCCACTTAAAGCAAAATCAAAGCACATTTGTTACAGGACTATGGAAATGACAGGGCTGGGGGAGGGGGCTGTGTTTCTAACTAAAGCTTAATTTTAATTAGGAAAACAAGTTAAAAGAATTAACTTCAAAGTTGGACCACTTTCTAGTTCTTATGTGAGAGTTAGGAGTCCAGATGAATTTAAGAAACCTCCTTGTCTCAAGGCAAGGAGGCTTCCGACTGGGAATTCAAAAGGTGCAGAGGCACTTTCTGCCCTCTGTGGCTCTACATACCATTACCGAAGGGCAGTTGAGAATGGTGATATTTAAGACCACTCTGACTTCATAAGGCCATATAGATAAAAGCTTATCTTGAAGACATGCTTAGACAAAGCTTAGTTTCACTGGGCATAAAGCCCATTAGCTAAAAAAAAACAACCCAGCAAAAATCCTTTGGGAAAACTAGACTTCTTAGTCAGTTTTAAATAGTATTTCAGTGTTATTGTAGCAATTGCAAAAGAATATCTCACATATTCCCTGTGCATTTTGGGAAACATCTAAGTAGTGGGCATTCCATATGGACTGTTTCAGGCTATTGCATACAGTTTTCCCAAGGTCTGTTTTGTATGTACATAAAGTCCATCTAATTTCAACCCCTACTCTTTGAGATAACTTAGTGCTAAACAAAAAATCTTTATTGTGAAATTAATAAGAAGGAGTTTCTGAAAGAAACAAATTATTTGACTGGAGGAAATAATATACTGTCATTTTGAAAGGTGGGTTGAGCTACTTGAATGCTGATGCGATAGCTAAGTGACAATTCAACATTTGCAGTAAGAGTGTTTGTCATTTGCACAGTTATAATATTCAGCTGGTGAAAGAAGTGTGCTTTTATGATAAAACTTGTGGAGCCAGCTATAGGGTTCAAAAGATCATGCAAAGAGAAGACTGATGAGTAGATTTGGTTTAGTATGATAACGAAGGACTGGGCGTAGACCACGAGTGTTACAGAATAAAGCTGTATTTATGTACATAAATATTATTATAGTATGGTATTACTGAGGTGGCAAGCGTGCGTTTGTTCTTGAAAGGTGTTATGAAGGTGGAATTTGAAGAACTGTGGGAAAGGCTGTACTGAAGTCCAGGTGGACAACATCCACAGCCTTTCCTTCATCCACTAAGTGGGTCACCCTGTCATAGAGGAGATCACGTTGGTCAAGCAGGACCTGCCTTTCCTAAACCCATCTGGCAGGGCCTGATCCCCTGGTTGTACTTCCCGCACCGTGTAATTGCACACAAGATGATCTGTTCCATAACCTTGCCTGACACTGAGGTCAGACTAATAGGCCTGTTTTTCACTGGATCCTCCTTCCAGTCCTTCTTGTGGATGGGCATCACATTGGCCAACCTTCAGTCATCTGGGACCTCCCTGATAAATCAGGACTGCTGGTAAATCATAAAGAGTGGCTTGGTGAGCTCTTCTGCTAGCTCTGTCAGTACCCTTGGGTGGATCCCATCCAACACCATAGACTTGTGAGTGTCTAGGTGGCTCAGCAAGTCACTTACTACTTCCTTCTGGATTATGGGAGATTTGTTCTGCACCCTGTTTCTGTCTACCAGCTCAGGGGTCTGAGTACCCTGAGGATAATTGGTCCTTCTGTTAAAGATTGTGGCAAAAAAAGACATTAAGTACCTCAGCCTTTTCCTCATCCTTCATGACAGTGTTTCCCTCTGCATCCAATAAAGGATGGAGATTCTCCTTGGCCCTCTTTTTGTTATTAATTTATTTGTAAAAACATTTCTTTGTTATCTTTTACCATGGTGTTGAGATGGACTTCTAGCTAGGCTTTTACCTTTCTAATTTTCTCTCTGCGTGACCTAACAACATCCCTGTACTCTTCCTGAGTTTCCTGCCCCTTCTTCCAAGGGTCATAAACCCTCTATTTTTTTCCCCTGAGTCATAGTCAAAGCTCTCTGTTCAGCCTAGCCAGTCTTCTTCCCCGCTGCCAGCTAAGAGCTGAGAAGCACATCTCACTGATACATCTCACATCAGAATAACAGGTTACACATGTACTAGTACAGGATCTGGCATGAACAGCATATCTACATATTGTGAGCCTGGTTTAGCTCCCAAAGCAAGAGGCCCATATAACTCATTGGAAATGTTCCCTGTCCATGCCGAGCAGCTACCTAGGCGAGTCCAGATCAGAGGCTGGTCTGGCAGGTCAGTAATTCAAATATTTGAGCTCGAGCAGTAAAAACAAGCCCTGGAGCAGGTGAGTTTTCAGTTATAGATAATACTTTGGTTTCTCTACATACCCATGTATTTTGTCTTTCATTGTCCAAATTTCTCTGTAAGACACATTTCTAGCAGTTCTTTCAATGACTGAGCAGATTAGACTTTATTATATTCGC